AGCCACATTCCAGTTTAGTTGATAAGATAGTGCTAACTTAATTATTTTGAATAATTAAAATTGTATAATAAAGCCAGGTATATGACATGATCATCAAAAAAAAAAAAAATTATCATCACGATGTGGTTACCATAATTATAACTTCATCATAGCAATTTTATATTAATTTAAAAAATAAATTGTATCAATTTGGTAACAATTTAGTGACTACTTAATTACAATATTATTAAAAAATTATAAATTTCTATAAAGTTTTTTTACTAAAAAATTATTTTAATAGTATAGCTATATATAGTCTATAGCTACAAATAAATTAATTTTTTTTTTGCTTGTAATAAAATAAAATTTTGATTTTTATAAAGTTTTTGTTTAGTATTTTATTTTTAAAAAAAAAAACTTGTTAAAATTTATATTTACAAGCTAGTAATTTTAAATATACCCAACCCTGTTTCAAAATTTCTTAATAACTATATTCTGGGCTATAATTTTTACTTTTGTTTAAAAAATAATTAATACAAATATTTAAAATATTTCAAGTTTATTTTTATTGATATTGATACAATACTAATTAATATATTTGTATACTAACACAATATTATAACACGAAAAAATTTTCTAAAATAACATAATAGTCTGTATCGGTATTGTGTTTTTTAGAAAAATAGCTTTTAATACCCTGGTACAATAATGCTAGTTTGCTAATTAGTAATACTAAAAAGTCGCCAAATAATTAGTAAATTTATATACAAAAACAAAAAAATTAATAACAGGAGGAAACATCCAAATATAGATATGATTTTCATTTTCATTACACAGATCACTCATTGTATCGACCAGTCAAAATATCACTACGGGATTAGTCAACCAATCAAATTGCGAAATTTACAAAAAGACGATTCAAGAGGATTCAAAAAATATGTTGTAAAGCAAAGTGAGAGCTTCATGTTTGTTTAAAAATTTTCAATATTCATATAAAACATAAGTCAAGCGAGCCTTCCAAAAAAGTATTGTAAAATAATATAAAAAAATTTTTTATCAATTGTGTAACAATTTTGTGACGTTCAACGTTTCCCCCTGTTAAAATTAATACTTATTTTTTCGGATTTTTGTGTAGCAGTGTAACTTAAAGTAATTATGTTTTCATTTAAAAATTTTACATAATACAGAAATATTCGATAAATTGACGAAAATTTTTTAATTGTTCACACAAATTATTTACTAAAAAAAACCCCGAAGGTGCTAAAACTCAAAAAGTAAAACTTAGTATTAAACAGCGTAAGGAATTATTTAAAAAATTAATCAATATGTAATCATTGCGAAAATAATGAGAAGTAATTTATTTCTTTAATTGCGGCGCATTAGCTACCCTGATCAGTGATGTAATTGGTTTCGTCCAATGGAAAACGATATTTATATTCGTCCAATGGGAAGTGGGGGGAAAAATTAGTAAATCTCAAACTATAGCGATAATCCCACTTACTCTAACCTTAAATCGGTCTTTAATGTGTATAAAAATAGTTTTTTTCTTTTTTAAAATTAGTAAATAACATTTTTAAAAGTATCACATTGTAGTACAATGTAATACCTAGTGCACTTAAATCATATTAAAAATTACGGTTCATCTAAATGATGCCATCTATATACAGTAAGTAGTATAGTAAACAAAATCGATCGATTTTTTACGCTAACCAATTTCAATGAAACGGAGGATCTTTAGACTTCAAAGAATTTTACGATTTTGAATAAATATATGAATACAACAAATTGAAAATATGGATAAATAGACATTAGAATTTCGGAAATTTTCCCGATCATCATAAAAATCATGGGGCACATCTTTTTTTGAAAAGCGCTATAAGAGGAATTGAATGATGAAAAAAAAATCATTCGATTTTATTTATAGTGAATATGTTAATTATAGGTTCATTTCGAGGAACCCCGAGCCTAATATTATCGGATTCAATTTATAGAATTGAGGTGCCACTAAAAAACGATTTTTTTAACATACACCAATTAACGTTAATAAAATTATAAATATGTATAAATACTGTATACGTATTAGTTTGCTACAAGAATTTTATTAATTATATAACTATAAATATATCTTTTTACCTTATGGTAATACTACGCACGTGCGCACGTACAGTACGTACGTACACGGTCTATACCTCTTTATCGTCACCCTCTCAATAAGCACATAAAAATTCTATCTCGATGATTATAATTTTTAGAAATAGACATTGTTTTTAATATTACATCAAAATTCACTTAGAATGTTTATATACGAATATTCCCAACTTTTTATTAAATAAATAATGATAGTATATAAAAAGAATTTGTAAAAAACACAAACAAAATAAATAATAAATAAAGCGCATAAAACTAGGATCCAAAAATTGAATAAAGGCCAACAAATTTCTTATTAAATGAAACCGTACAAACTTTTTTTTTTTTTTTAAAAGAAATAACGATATACATTTACTTAAAGAGAGAAACAATAGATTATAATACAATCAAGTGGGTTGCAATTGCTATAAACCAACACTATTTTCCGGATAAAAACTAATGTAATTTTCTATTGGTATGTAAAATAGAAGTTCACAAAAAATAGCCATTATTTTAATCATCAATTGCAAACCGTTTATCTTCAGGGTTTTCAATTCCTTCATATTGTTTTCTTTGGACTACAAAAAAAAAAAAAAAAAAGATGAATGATCAACTCTAAAAAAGATCAATGAAAAGCAACCATTTTTGTAAAACTCACAATGAAGTTTCAAACCAGCACCTAATAAACAAATAATAAATGATAAGTAAGAAATTAATTAATAGAAATCATAAAACAGAAATGAGTTCAGCATACCGAAATTATTAAATGCCAAATACGCAGTGAACAATGACATTATGATTAAAGTGATACCGAGGATATCCTGATTAAAACAAATGAGTTAGAAATATTTATAATAAATTTAGTAGATTAATGTAAATAAATTACCAAGAATGTCAGCAAACTTTCATCACGCTGGACGATAAACGAGGCCAAAATGTATAGAAAATTGGCTATTGTGGCCACGGAACAAATAGCATAAATAAATAGCGCCACCTTATTTTCAGATCGTACCTATTTAAAAAATAATATAAAAATTTTGGTGTAAACCAATAAATTAAATAAATTAAATAAATTAGGAGGAAAAAAAAAGAAACATACACCCCACAATCCCAATCCCACGGTCGGTATAACAATAGCAACAAAAACGCTTTGAACGATTATTGTATGAATATTGTGAGCAGCGTCTCCGTACAAGAATACCAAATTAAGAATTTGGAAGCCCAACAAGAGGAAGATGTCCACTTTCGTTAATAAAAGGAAAACTAATATTAAAGGTTAGATGTGAATTATAAAATTTAGAATGATGATAATCATAAAAATTCGAAAATTTCGGAATAGTTGGTAATGAAAAACGTACTAAGATATGTCTTGTACATAGCTAAATTACGAAAATTAAAGTTAGCATAGTAGTGATAATTAGGAATAAAGCAGCCAAAAATGTAGCTTACACTGAGTACTAATGCCAGCACCAATCTTCTTATAGATATTCCATCCGAATTCGCCATATAATTTATAGCCAAGGAATATTGATGCGGAAACGAACAAAACCAAAAAAGCAAGTTGAATAAATTCAGCATATAATACATTCATCGGTAATGGAGTGTTAATCGGATCATTAGGGAAATCAAGAGCAACTTGTAGATTGATACGACGTAACCATTTGAAACTCTGATAGGTTTGTATAGACCCAAACAATAGCAAGCAAATATTTATAAGACCTATAGATATTATCTCTATTGTATTCTATAATAATGGAAGGTGAATAAATATAAATCTTCGTAAGGAACGATAATCTAGAAATAAAATAAATGATAGGATCTTACTTGAAAATATAACTTAAAAAAAGGGATATAAAATAAATTGTCAGTTTTTCAATTTAAAACAACCTAAAATACGACACACTACATTATAAGAAAATTAAATTACCGATGAGAGACATAAAGCAGTGAGAAAAGCTTCAAACACCATGAACCAAATGTTTCCGTCTATAATCGATAGATATTGAGCCAAATAATTTGGATAAGAATAATTTGGATAAACAAATTGGGGTGAAACTGGAGGTTGGCTTTTATATTGATTGTTAAGGTCGGTTAATGCTCTAGCATCATCCTCATTCATCCGTAAGATGACAGCCTCTATTATAATAGATACTATCATTTGGCATACAGCAAAACTTATGTAAAGGATGGTCCATCGAGATTCAGTTATGCGAGTCCACTATAAGTTTGAGTTTACGTAATTGTTATATATACCCTTCATATGGTATAAAGAGAAGTAAGAATTCGAACATACCAGCTTTTTGCTTATCTTTACTAGTGTAGCACTCATGTTGAAAAAGTATATATTTTTTTATAAAGGAACGAAAACCTTCCAGAGGTCTTTAAGTTAGAAAAGAAAAAAAAAAAAAAAGAAGAAAAAAAAAAGAGAAATTTTTAATATAAAGAAAGTTGTGATACTTGTAACTTGTTCCAAGCGATAATGGACGGAGGAAACAAGTAAAACAAGTCTCAGAAAGAAGAGGCAAATTTGTGGGCAATAAAAAAAAAAAAAAAAAAAAAGAACAATAAAATTTATATAATTGAAGAAGAGAGTTACGTTGCAATTATCAAACGGTTAAATGTTAATAGTTACAGATACATGCGAGAGGATTATATTTATTAAAATATTTAATAAATTGTTTGACTTCCAGATATGGTTAGCCAAAACTATTATAAGTATCAGACTACATGTGAGACATGTGTAACAATGTGGGCATAAATATACGTACTAAAAGATATAAAAAGATATATGTGCACTAAGGTGATAAAGGATCATCACAATAATCAAGTATAACAAGATGAAAGATTATGTATTTATGTATTGTTTGTAAGAAAAGTGAACAAAGATCGTAATGCTAAAAGGCATAAGGCAGAAGTTTTTTCAACCGATCTCTTTGTGTTTTATGAGAATACGCAGCTTTTCTCAGACGAAGCAAACGTGCTCGTGGAACTCCTGTATTAAGATGCGCTTTACCTGATCTAGCACGTTTGAATTTTCCACGGCCTGTAACTCTCCACCTATTTCATTACGAAATCCGTAGAATTTTATTACTACTACAATCATAAACCATCAGTTACCACCGATGTGACCTAATTTACCTTTTTTTGGTACCAGAATGACTTTTCATCTTGTATTTATATACAGTCTTCAGGCGAATGGAATTATTAAAAGCATTTAACGAATTATTTTCAAAATGTGGTAATATTGATGGTCGAATATAGTTGTTAGGCGAAACTATTTTCATAAACGGTGATAGACGAAATCTAAAGCCTGAAATATGAAACCTCCTAACGAAAGTCGAAACCTCTGGCGAAAGTTGTGACCCTCGACGAAAGGCGAAATCCTTCGCGAAAGGCGAAACTCCCGGCAAAAGGTGAAGCCTCTGGCGAAGGATGAAATCTCTGGAGAAAGGCATCCCGAGACTCTAATTAAAAAAAAAGCAGGGCTTGTATCGAGAAATATACCATTACTTCCCTAGCCTTGGGCTTTAAATTTATAACTTACCGAACTCAGCCCCTTAAAAATATGAGCAGTAGTGTGCGTATATAACTTGTAAATAAACATATCGAACAAAAAAATATTGAATGTTAGTAGATATCTGGTGAATTATATATAAATTTAAAAACCTGAAATTCTGGTTTCTTTTAACAGCATATCGATATTATTGGAACAAAGCAATGTGAGGCTTTTTTTTTAATAACGACATCTCAAATATCTAATCCGGTTATGATCGGCACTAATTTAGAAGTTGATCGAATTTTATCATAAATCACGAGCTGAGCTTGGCACCACAAATCAATAATCCCGTTAGATATACTTGATATAATTGTCCAAAAATGGTAAGAAAAAAATAGCGTTATTTACCATGTGACTATACTGTGATTGGCTGTTTGTCTATACTAGAAAAATGTCCGTCTGACCGCCACGTGACTTTATGGTGAGTGTTGCCAAGGGTTTAACGAATTTTTAATATAAACTTTGATCAAAGATATCTCGATATCTATTATATCAAATTCAATAAATTTTTTTTTATTTGAATTCTAAAGATTTGTAGAATTCAAAAAAAAAAAATTCTACCAAATTTGATACAATAGATATCGAGATATCTTTGATCAAAGTTTATATTAAAAATTCGTTAAGCCCTTGGCAGCACACATGAGTGACGCCAAGGGAAAATGGAACATTGGTTTATCATTTATTGTTTAAATAAATAAACCAATAAGCCAATGTCCCATTTGCCCTTGGCGTCACTCATATGTACTTATAACAATTCCTATTAACCTACGGAGCATAGTGACGGACATTATATGTTTATGTAAAGTGATACAAAAGTTACGTTTTTGATGTATCAATAGTTGCTTTTTTGATTCACTTTTTATTTGGTACTTTAACGTAATAAAAACGTTAATAGTGATTGGACCCGAGTAGTGATCGACACAAAAGCAAAAAATTTGACAATCAAATAAAGGGTGTTCTCAAGTAGCACACTCAATTAATTAGATAATGATCGTAATGGTGCTCAACCGTTATGTAAAATTTAA